TATTGTTATTGTTAGACGGACATGTGTCTCACATAAAAAATTTGGAAGTTGCTAAGCTTGGTGTAGAATATGGTGTAACTATTTTATGTTTACCTCCCCACTGTACGCATCGAATGCAGCCAGCAGATGTTGGTTTTATGAAACCACTTAGTTCTTTCAATACGGAAGAAATAAATGCTTTTCAGCGCAAGGGAGCAGTCGTTAAAATGAAAAATATCTTTGAAATATTTGGTAAGGCATGGAAAAAAGCAGCCAGAATTGAAACTGCCGTCAGTTCTTTTAAAAAAACAGGAATTTTGCCTGTTGATAGAACTATATTCAAAGATTTTTTCAAGATCTCAGCTAGCCTCATTGCAACAGACTCGGGTAAACACTTATTTTATAAATTAAATAAAAATTTTTTTTATAATTTTAAAGTTTCTGGAATAATTTCTTTTCAGTTGGCAGCGCAGCTAGTCCTATTGCAACAAATCCAGGTAAACATTTATTTTATAACTTAAATCAAGTATCAAGTATTATTTTATAACTAAAATTAAGTTTCTGCAATAATTTCTTTTCAGTTGAAGGACTTCATCTCCGCAACACTACTGACACGACTCCTTTAAATGAGTTAACAAATAGCATTGAAAAGTACAAAGATATTATTTGTAAAAAACTTTTTGCAAATGATGTTTCGAGTTCAAGTTCAGAACACTCCTTTACACCGGAAAAAAAACCACAAAGTATAAAAGAGCCTTCAATATCTATTCCTCTTTCTACGATTATGCCTCTATATTCGCTTTTGGTGAGTAAAATATTTCTTTGGCAAAAAAATATTTAAAATATGAAATTAATATATTTTTTTAGAAATAACTAATACCACCGAATTGACATGAAAATGCTGAAAATTCCATCACCAGGAAAAAGCGTTCTAAAGGTACTTCTATCTGTGTAACATCAGAAGAACATATAAAAAATTTAGAAGAAGCTGAAAGATTGAAAAATCTTAAAACAGAAAAGATTAAAGAAAAGGCAAGAATCAAAGAGGATCGTATTTTGAAGACTCCTTAGAAAATAAGGGCAAATAAACGTAAAGCTGATAAAATGAAGTCATCGAAGTCACCAAAAAAACCAAAAAGAGAAAAAGATGATAAAAACGCATTTATTTTTGAGAAATCGTCGAATGAAATGAAATGTCTAGATATTGACGTTTCATTTCAATCTATTGATAGTCAAGTAACAAATGTTATTCAAGAAGATGGTAGTTGTTTATCTTTTATACAGCTTTAGCAAAAACCTAGATGTAAATATGTGTTCTTTTTAATAGTTTAAGTCGTTTTAATATACCAATAAAATTGATATTCTGCAGATATATTTTGCTTCCATGTGATGCCCAAATATAACTTAGCTTCCCTGACACTCGTGCTTGACCCCTATGGCACAATTCCCGGCCATTGAAAAAAGACGGGCAATTGTGACAAATTTTTTGAAATTCAATAAAAAATTGAGATTTCATTGTAATTTTTTAATTTTAATATATATAATAAAGCTTGAGATTCCCTTTGCAATGGTCGTTTCAGATTTGAAAAATTTTGAAAATTCGCTTCAGAAAGCAAGTTTGAAGTTATGGTGTCTCTCATGCCCGTCTCTCCCCTAATTCGATTGACAAAGTTCATTCTACACTTTCTGATTCGCAATCTAACTCTAATGAAACCACTATTTCTCTAAATAATTGCTTGTACGCAGGCAGACCATGTCAGTGTATCTGAGTTTGAGAAAGTACACTAACTGACGTTTGAGCGGCTCTATGACCTGATAGATCGATAATACTTGCAAGTATTTGAGTATTTCAATGTCAAGTGGTTAATGTCTCTGAAACTTTCACGGACGGTTCGTCAAGAAAACGGCATTTCATGAGTTCATTGCCACTTTTCCGGCGAAAAGTTAGGTGATGTTCATCAATATCGGCAATACGTGTAAGAATTCGTATACCTGCCATACTTCGTCTTCAACTTTAACCTTACTTTGTCTGCAGGCAGACCATGTCAGTGTATCTGAGTTTTGAAAAGTACACTAACTGACGTTTAAGCGGCTCTATGACCTGATAGATTGATAATACTTGCAATTTTTTGAGTATTTCAATTTCAAGTACTTAATGTCTCCGAATCTTTCATGGACAGTTCGTCAAGACAACGGCATTTCATGAGATCATTGCCACTTTTACGGCGAAAAGGAAGGTGATCTTAATGAATATTGGCGATACTTGTGAGAATTCGTATTTCCACCAATCTTCGTCTCTACATTTTACCTAACCTTGTACGCAGGCAGACCATATCGAAGTATTTAAGTGTCGATGACTACACTAACTGACGTTTGAGCGGCTCTATCACCTGATAGATCGATAATACTTGCAAGTTTTTGAGTATTTCTATGTCAAGTGCTTAATGTCTCTGAATCTTTCACGGACAGTTCGTCAAGATACCGGCATTTCATGAGATCATTGCCATTTTTCCGGCGAAAAATAGGTGATGTTAATCAATATCGGCGATACTTGTCAGAATTCGTATTACTGCCATACTTCGTCTTAAACTTTAAGCTTACTTTGTCTGCAGGTAGACCATGACCGTGAATCTGAGTGTCGTAAAGTAAACTAACTGACGTTTGAGCGGCTCTATGACGTGATAGATCGATGATACTTGCAAGTTTTTGAGTATTTCAATGTCAAGTACTTAATGGCTGTGAATCTTTCACGGACCGTTCGTCAAGACAACGGCAATTCATGAGATCATTGCCACTTTTCCGGCGAAAAGGAAGGTGATGTTAATGAATATCGGCGATACTTGTGAGAATTCGTATTTCCACCAAACTTCGTCTCTACATTTTACCTAACCTTGTACGCAGGCAGACCATATCGAAGTATTTAAGTGTCGATGACTACACTAACTGACGTTTGAGCGGCTTTATGACCTGATAGGTCGATAATACTTGCAAGTTTTTGAGTATCTCAAGGTCAAGTGCTTAATGTTATGGATAGGATAGGGTGTGTAGAAATGATGACTCCAGAATTTCTTTGGAGAGGAGCAACTTTTATTTTTGATCACAACTTTTTTTTGTGTTGAAATGTTGCTCCGACCGCTGCTCAACTGATACTGGCCGCTCGCTGATCTGCGCCGGCCTCATATAGCCACGTTTTCCTCGCATCTGAGCAAGAGATCTGCGAAGACGATCGCGCGCGATTTTAAACTCTAAACTTGATTTCGATTTCAAAGTCAACTCAATTTAAATAAATAAATATAATAAATAAATAAAATATAATAAAATATAATATAATTTAAAATAAAGATGAAATTAATTTACCATTCATTACTCTTACTCTGTGCTCCACCTTGCGGTAAGGCTGGTCCGCCATGCAAGGCCAGGCTCAGATTTTCCTAGCGCGCACAGGTAAATGACCTTGATCAGCTAGAGGCCCTTAGTTGGCCCTGATCGCGGTCTTCTGGCGAGAAGTCGTGGCTTAGTTTCACACTTTTCAGCCACCGCAAGGCACGTGCTTCATTAAATCGGGCTCACAAAATAAATACTGCCTTTCTTGCAATTTTCAAATGAACTTTTATTTCAATTTAAACAAGTATGCACGCGAGGGAGCAACAACTCAACTCTGTTGTTTACATTTCTCCTCCTCGCCAAAAACACGGTTTATTGGCCATATCAAACATCATGTCTAACTTTTTTTTTTTTTTTTAAATACAGTAACCTCACAACTCGATAAATGTCGAAGTACAAGTCTAGTAGGACAGGCAATAGTGCAATACACATGAACAATTATTGTTCTGGACTTGAAGAAACTCCAAGTTTTATGAGCCTTCTGGCAGCACGCACCAACTCACCGTTTCTCGTCTGTACCTTCACGACGCGTACCTGGCCATCGACCGCCGGGAAAATCTCGATTACCCTTTCTTCCAACCATACATTTCGCGACGCTTTTGGGTCGACTACCACTACATGATCGCCTGTCCTCAAAGGCTCATCCGAAGCCGTCCATTTTGATCGTTTCAATAATGTGGGCGCGTATTTCCTTATCCATCGTTTCCAGAACTCATCTGCTAGATTCTGTGCGACTCGGTAGCGTTTGCGTAAGCAAACTTTCTTCGCGTCATACCTTTTGAGATCAATTGAACCCGACGAGGAGCCCAGCAAAAAATGATTTGGGGTGAGTGCCTCATCATCCCGGGGGTCTACCGAGACGTGTGTAAGTGGCCTAGAGTTTATCGTGTGTTCGATCTCGGCTAAAAGCGTACCTAGTACTTCGTCGGAGGGGACTTGATCTCTGAGAACGGTATGCAGTGCGGCCCCCATATGAGATGCGTTCGGCGGGTTGAAAATCCACTTGATTTTTTTTTTGAGCGTAGTTACGCTGTCGCTCTCTATCTAAGCCTAAAACATTTTCGCGTAATTCTTTACAAGCGCCTCGTAGGTTCGTGCCGTTATCGCTGTATACGACAAGTGGTCTACCGCGACGCGGCACGAAACGTTGCAACGCCATTTTGGCCGAGCTCGTATCTAATGAGTGAGCAAGTTCAACATGTACTGCTCTTACTGTCAAACATGTGAACAGGACCCCCCATCGTTTTTCGTGCCTACATCCGACCTTGACGAGAAGCGGTCCAAAATAATCTACCCCGCAATGGCTAAACGGTCTTTGTCCATAAGCCAGCCTTCCTTTCGGTATGTTCGCCATCATAGGGCTGGGTGGCTTCGCTCGTAACGAGCGGCAAACTAAACACGTACTTGCTAAGGACCGCAAGGTTGCTCGGAGCCCCAATATAAAATACTGTTGACGAAGCTCGTTGATGACAGTGTTCGGATTCGCGTGATAATATCGACGGGGATAATCGGCGACCAACATTTTCGTGGCTGTATGTTTACCGTCTAGTATAATCGGTTCATTGCAGTATCCCGCTTCTGCTACATTCGCAGCGCGTCCGCACGCTCTCATAATGCCCTCAGAGTCGATATACGGTCTAAATCCCGCCAGACGGCTTCCACCCCAATGCTCGTCTAACCGTTGTGAGTGGTAATTCCTCCAAATTTGCATGGAACACGAGGGCTGGGCGTTTCTCAATACGGTCTGCCTCGTCCTTGGCGTTCGCGCTCAATGCCTTCTCGACCGGCCACGATTGTTCCGATTGGTATAATAATGCCGGTACCGTGGCCCATTGGGCCAGTGACTCCTCGTTACTCCACGTCCACCGTGTGATTTTATCAGCCGGATTGGCCCTGGACGGCAACCATCTCCACTCGTTTGCTCGCGTTAAATCCCCTATTTCGCCCAATCTATGTGCGACGTACGTCTGTTTTGTGCAAGGCTCGTTTCTGATCCAGTGCAATACCGTCGTGGAGTCGGACCACAGTACTTTACGGCTGAAGTCAAAGTCTAATTCTTTTATTAACGTATCGCGCAGTCTCGCGCCGAGCAATGCCGCTTGCAACTCCAAACGCGGAATGGTCAAAGGTTTGAGGGGTGCCACGCGGGCTCTCGACATGATGAGTGATATCCCGACCACTGTGTCTTTATCTATAAAGCGTGCGTACGCCATGGCTGCGTACGCTTCCAGGCTCGCATCGCAAAATACATGTAATTCTACGTGAGTGTATGATCGCGTTCTAGGTTCGAGACAACGCGGTACGCGGTAATTCCGTGCGGCTTCAAGCGCTTTCAACCAATTTTTCCAGATGTCATGTTCCTCGTCCCGGAGTTTTTCATCCCATTTCACACCACTGCGCCACACGGCTTGCATCACAATCCGCGAACTCAGCGTGACTGGCGTGAGCAATCCCAGTGGGTCATATACGGACATTATAACGCTCAAAAATTGACGCTTAGTTGGTTTTTTTTTCCCACTGAGAATCGCTTCCGACACGCCCTTCACGCTGACCTGGAATCCGAGTTCGTCCGTGTCCAAGTTCCACGCCATGCCCAACACGCGCTCTCCCCCTCGGTCGCCGAGTCGCAGCTGCTTCTGGACATCGACATTACCTGCCTGATCGATGGATTTCGCGACTTCCACATCGTTGCTCGCCCACGCATGCATAAAAAAGTTTGCGCGTTCATTTATTTTTATCACCTCCCGAGTGCGCGCGATTGCTTGTTCTTTCGATCGAAAACTGACGATATAGTCGTCCATGTAAGTGTTACGGATTACACTTTTAACGGCCGTTGGCATTCGTCCCTCGAATTCCTTCGCGTTGCGATCTCGCACGTATATCGCCCTACACGGAGACGATTTCATACCGAAAATCAGGGTGGTCATTTCGTAAATGTCTGGTGTTTTCTGTCGGTCACTTCCCCGGTACAGGAAGCGCTGGGCCCCACGATCTTCCTCTCTCACTTTTACTCTCAAAAACATGTCTTAATGTCGCCCTTTACCGCGATCGCGTGTTTCCTAAAGCTGAGTAAGACTCCAGGCAGTGACTGGAGCAAGTCCGGGCCTGCGACCAACTGATCATTTATGCTTTGGCCACCCGACTTGGCCGCTGCATCGAACACGACTCGAACTTTTCCGGGTTTGTTGACGTTGCGGACACCGAAGTGTGGCAGGTACCATACGCGACGAACATTTTCATTACCCTTTATCTTCCGCGCGTATCCGTTTTCTACCAATCGGTTTATCTCAGCGTGATAAAGCTTAGCATAATCATGATCTTTATCGATTCGTCACTCTAAAAGTTCTAGCCGTTTACGTGCGACATCGTAACCATTTTCACGTGGGGGTGTATCTTTCGACCAGAGTAAGCCGGTTTCCCAAGAACTGCCTATGCGCCTCGAAGTCTCGTCCAGAATTGACCAAGCATTAGAAATTTTTTTGTCGATTCGTGACCCAGTTTCTGCCCCAAAATTATCGATCTGAAAATAGTTTTTGACCATCTCATCAAGTCGCGCTTCATCACGGTCGCTGTCTGTTTTTAGTTCTTTGCCACTCGCGCACAGAGCCAGCGTCGTTTCGTTCTTAGATTTGTCGGTTTCTCGCCCACTTATAGGCCCGAATAATACCCATCCGAGTGGGGTATCAGCCGCGCCCAAATCGCGTATTCGCAACTTGCGCACTTCGCGGTGTGCGATCATCTCCCAGCTGTCGAGTCCCAACAACAGCTTCGGCTCTGCGTTACAGTAAGGGTCGACTGATATTCCGTCTGCTCGATAAATTGTGTCCGTTAATTCTTTAGGTAAGCTTTGTGACGACAATGGTAATTTGCGCACCGAAATCGCGCCTTTCACGACAAATTCTCGTCCTTTGCCTTGCACTTTGAAGGAAACCTTTTCTGAACTCATTTTGACACCACGTTCGTCGTTAATGCCTCTCAGCGAGAACATCAATTTGTTACCACGCGCACCTATTTGTTTTGCGAGATCGGCACGAATAACCGTATTCGTGGATCCGTCATCTAACAACGCGAAGCAATCTGCCGAACCTCTCGGACCTATCACACGGACAGCGATTACTTTTAGGTACGCGTGTCCCTCCTGCACCGCGACAACTGACTCGTCATCCTGAGCCTGCCTATTCTCGGTGCCCCTCGCCTTTTTGTTTTGACCGTTATTTGCACGCTCTTTATGGAGAGACACATGGTGCTTGTTGTTGCACAACTCGCACCCTGCCCCTTGACACTCATCGCGCATATGACCTACTTTTAGACATACGAAGCATGCTCGCAAGTTTTTTACAATTGACCATCGCCTATCTACGTTTACCGCTCTGAATTTGCGGCACTCCGGCAGCGAGTGATTTTTCATGAGGCAATACGCGCATTCTCGGGTCTCGCAGGCATTCGTCCTCGGATCTACCTCTGCCACGTATACCGAAGAGGCTCGAGTTTCTCGTCTCGTTCCCTTCCGCGGTACGACTTCCCTCATACTCGTCGCTGGCACGATGTCACAAACTCCGGTCGCCATTGAGAGCTCATTTTGTCTTTGGACGAAGGCGGTGATTTGTTCGATCACCGTCTTCTCCGAGTCAGCCATCGCAACGTACGTGTTAAATAACAAACACCATGCCGAGGGCAACTTTCCAGCGACGGTTTGGACTAATTCTGTATTGTGTAAGGTGCCCGTGAGCTCAAGCGCGCGCAACGCCGAGACAGAGCTGCTTAATTTTGCTACGAACTTAGTCAATTCAATTTTTCCCGATTCCAAGCTAGGTAGTGATTTTATTTTGCTCGCGATCTGCTTTTCAAGTACTCGTTTATTTCCATATTGAGTCTCAAGGTGTCGAGTTGTGGATCATCGGTTGTAGCTAACAGGGTCAAGTTATTTTCACGTGCTTCACCGTCTATCGCGTCATATAGATGGCGCACGTTTTCTCGATCTGAGTAACCCCCCAGCGAGGCCGCGGTGGCTGTGGGGCTTGAGCTCTTGCTTCTCAACCGAGAAGTCGGGGGTTCAAATCCCGGCGGTGGGCTGGTTTTTTCCCGAGGATTTTTTCTGCGGGGTTTGCACCGTTGGGTGTATATCGTGGAAATTTTCCTTGGAAAAAAGCCGGTGCACTTCAACTGCGGTCTCTGGTGTTGGGGGTCACACCATTATCAAAGCGTAACCTCAGTGGTATGGGAGGCGCAACCATATCGACTACAGGTACACGCTAATACACTAACACACACACTTACATATACACGCAAGACCCACCGTTAGGTAGAACGGTGAGGTTGGCCAATTAGCCTAGTAGCAGAAAGGGCCGTAATCAACTAAAAAAAAAAAAAATAACCCCCCAGCTCCGACGACGTCTCGTACGCGCGGCGGAATCGGATCCATTCTATCGGATTACCGGCAAACTTGGGTAGATTTCGACTCGCTTCTACTCGATTGTCAATCTGAGCGGACTGGTTATTACGCGATATGTCGGTGACGGTGTTCAACGCAAATTCGATGGCCAGACTGATACGCTTAGCCGAATCGACAGCTCGACCCGCCGAATCGGCGCCAGCATACCCGGAGGCTCGTTCAATTAAACTAGATCGATTGCCTGTTCCTACCGCTCCGTAGTCCTCGCTCACAGAAGAACTTGATGATTTATCGTCTTGAATGCGATCTTGTGCAGGAGTCACAGGTGACGTGTGAGTGTTGACTGCTTCCCGAATCTGCGGCGGGCGGCTGCTACCGGCGTTTTCTACGGCCTCAGGACGTCTGCGCGTTCTCTTGGTAGGTGGTTCATGAACTTCGACTTCCGTGATCACATATTCTTGTGTGTAGAGTCTTTTGCTCCGTCGCAGATGACGTCCTCTCGAAGCCATTGTCCTCACGATCACGCCACACAATCAAAGTCACAAGCAACACACACGGAGTTGTACAAAATCCAAAGTCACCGCACAACTGCACGCGACACACACGGCGCTGCACACCGAATGAGAGTTCCTACACAGTTGCAGGTGGCACACACGGAGCCACCCACGAGTCTGCAGTCACCACACACGGCGCTGCACACCAAACCGGCGTTCACACACAGACACGGACGACACACACGGCGCCACACACAGTTTCAAACTTGCCACACAATTGCACGCGACACACACAGCACTGCGCGCCGAACAGAAATTCCAACACAGTCACAGGCAGCACACATGGAGCCACACAAAGTTTTGGAGTCGACACACACGGCACCGCACACCAAACTGGCGTTTACACACAGCCAACAGATAACGTACACGACGCCACACAAAGTTTTGCAGTCGCCATACAATTGCGGGCCACACACACGGCTCTGTGCGCAAAGTTGAAGTTAACACAAGTCACGGTGACACGCACACAGAGTCACACAAAAGTTTGGAGTCGTCACACACGGCGCTGCATACCAGACCGGCGCTCACCCGCGGACGAAGGCAACACACACGGCGTCACACACAGTTTCGGAGTCGTCACACATTTTCACGCGACACACACAGCGCCGCACGCCGAACGAGAGTTAACACACAGTTACGGTGACACACACAAAGACACACACAAATTTGGAGTCGCCGCGCACGGCGCTGCACACCAGACTGGCGTTCACACGCGGACGCAGGCGCACACACGGCGTCAAACACAGTTTCGGAGTCGTCCCACAATTGCTCGCGACACACACAGCGCTGTACACTAAACAAGAATTAACACACAGTCACGGTGACACACACAGAGTCATACACAAATTTGGAGTCACCACACAATCCACCTCGTTGTCTCCGGTCAGATGAGTTCCCGGGGTCTCGGCACCAAAATGTTATGGATAGGATAGGGTGTGTAGAAATGATGACTCCAGAATTTCTTTGGAGAGGAGCAACTTTTATTTTTGATCACAACTTTTTTTTATGTCGAGATGTTGCTCCGATCGCTGCTCAACTGATACTAGCCGCTCGCTGATCTGCGTCGGCCTCATATAGCCACGTTTTCTGCGCATCTGCGCAAAAGATCTGCGAAGACGAACGCGCAAGATTTTAAAATCTAAACTTGATCTCGATTTCAAAGTAAACTCAATTTAAATAAATAAATATAATAAATAAATAAAATATAATGAAATATAATATGATTTAAAATAAAGATGAAATTAATTTACCATTCTTTAATCTTACTCTGTGCTCCGCCTTGCGGTAAGGCTGGTCCGCCATGCAAGGCCACGCTCAGATTTTCCTAGCATGCAAAGGTAAATGACCTTGATCAGCTAGAGGCCCTTAGTTGGCCCTGATCGCGGTCTTCTGGCGAGAAGTCGTGGCTTAGTTTAACACTTTTCAGCCACCGAAAGGCACGTGCTTTCTGAAATCGGGCTCACAAAATAAATACTGCCTTTCTTGCAATTTTCAAATGAACTTTTATTTCAATTTAAACAAGTATGCACGCGAGGGAGCAACAACTCAACTCTGTCGTTTACACTAAATTTCCCTTGAACTTTCAAGGGCAGTTAGTCAAGACAACGGCATTATATGAGATCATTGCCACTTTTTCAGCGAAAAG